AGCATTGGATAGTGTATATTGTCATTACCTGTGCAGAGTTTTTATTCTTTTTTAACGCCAATCTTAATTCATTAATGGTAAAGGGACCTTCTAAGTCGTCCACTTTTTCTGTATCACTTTTCTGTATCTTTTACCATATCTTTATATGGATCTATATCTATAATTATGGATTTAAGAAATTGATCCGCTAAGTTATCAAGAAATAAATTATTATGAACGGATCCATTTTTTAATGTTCTTTTACTATGCCCTACCTATTTGTTTCGGTGTGGAGGTTCTTGTCATAGAATTACAAAAATCTGTCCAGTTATTGATTTTTTTATTTTTGAAAATAAATCTGCATTTAGCTAACGTTTATATCTTATATAATTATCTAACTTTGGAAGTTTCTTGTAGTTCTTGATTGCTTCCAACTTTAATTTTTTAACGATGTCGCATTCTTTGTGCCACCATGGATATATATATATATATATATATATATATATATATATATATATATATATATTAAAAAGGTCTAGTAATCGGACATGACATCAATAAAAAACATGATTTTTTTTTCAGAAATTCATTTTAAATCCATACGTTTTGGCTATAATCCTAGCCTTCATTCAGTGGAACTAAAAATAAAATTAAAAACTAAAACAATCGAATTGGAGTGAAAACAAAAAATAAAATAGTAAATAGTACTTACAATTAGTTAATTTTAATGTTACATTGGAAAATTTTAATAATCCATGGTATCAAGATATGGTAATGCACTACACTATGTATTATAAAACATTAAACTTGTAATTTTGGTATTTATAATTTTATAATTTTTGTAATCGTGGTAATATCATAAATTTGAATTTGTCTTCTTACTATGAGTTGACGACGATACCAACTTTTTGCTGTCGTTGAACACCTCTATTGTGGCTGCTAAATCATTTTTGATAGTTTCCATTGTGGCGGTATATTTCTTATTACATGTATTTTGTGCTCCTTGACCTCTTGTATATTTTTTTCTATAATTTTATCATTAATACGACTTCTTTTAATATGCTTCTTCTTCTTCTTTTTCTTTTTTATTTTATTCGAAGCAGTTTTTATTTCTTCTTCGTTAATTATTTTGATATCTTCTTGTTTGTTGAATATCTTCGATTTGTGGAACCGCATCTTGGATGTCTTCAAATTCAGCCATTCGTATTTTCAAATTTTCTTCATCTTCATCTTCATCTAATATTTCTGCAGCAATTGTCGTCAATTCTTCGGTTTCAGGGTTTTGAGTTAATATTTTCATAGATTCCATTTTGTCTGTAACTAGACAACTTTCTTCATATATTGATTTTTGGCGAATTTTTTCACATTTTGAAATGTGGTGTCCTCTTTTCTTGCAATATCTGCATACAACGTAGCGGTTATATTGTTTGTCATAGGTGATATTTAAATACTTTTCCTCTTTGATGGCAATATTCTTAGCATCCTCAAGATTTTTTTTGTCTCCTTTAACAATAGTTTTTATTTCCAACTGGAGGCCTTCAATGAAAACTGTTAGAGCTAAGTCACAATGTGAGGCATAAATTATTTCCTTTTTTGAAAAATAACATTCAATATAAATTAACATTAGCAAATCATCAATTCTTTCAGCATATTTCTAAGTTGTTTCGGCATTTTTTCTTGTCATTGTAGCTAGTTCATAATGTAAATCTGTAATTGATCTAGGATCTTTAAATTTTTTTTATTAAAATTGGTTTAATATCTTCCCATAACTTATTATCAGACCACTTCATGCAATTAAATGCTGATCCATATAATCTACTAGGAGCAATTTTAGATATTTCATAAATTTCAAAATTAACGTCTTCTACAATTGAATATATTATGCTTATATACCTAAAGAGATTATACGAATTACCATCAAATTGAGGTATAGTTTCAATAGCTAACTTGATTCTGATTTCGCTTATTGCCTCACTATATTCAACATCTTGCACAAATCCTGAAGAAATAGGTTCTATCTTGAGAGAGTGATGTTGTCCAATTTGCTTATTGTAAATCCGAGTTGTGGCGGCTATTTAACTCGATGTCCCCAGATGAAAATCCTTCTGCACTGCGAGGGAAATATTCCACCGCTGCCACCATGAACTGTATTTGTGGGGTTGTTTGGATCACTTCTGTGATTATGGGAGGTTGGTTGGTAGCTGGAGCTGAGCGGTTGATTAAATAAAAACACTGGTTCTTGGTTGATCTTGATATTTTATTGTTTACTATTTTTACAATTAAATAATTTGTTTGATAACCCTTTGGTTATCGATAAACAAAGACTACATTTTTTTAAGTATCTCAACAGTAAGCCTGACTTGACTCCTGACTTCTGACTGCCTAACTAAATCTTAATTTCTTCTTATATACTGAATGATTGTACATAAAACGTGATTCCAAAATCTAACAGTAAAGATGGAAGAATTTCGGATAACCTTCAAATAGCACGTAGTGCTTTAACAATAAATAATGAATTATATTTGTGATTATAAAATAATATATATATATATATACTAGATGACCCGACAGACGTCGTCTTGTACCCGTGTCTACGTTTTTTTAATATACTAATATTTATACCGTTCAGATAAAAATAATCATTATTGCTTTTCGAATTACTATTTACACCAATATATGAGTGATGTTGAATGTAGATCTGTTTTAAATAAAATGATTATTCTCAATTCCCACAGTTAATACTTTAATTATCCATTTAACACTAATCATACCAAGACTTGATATATACCTAATTCTACCATAGCGGGTCAAATGACCCGACTCTATGTTTCATGCTTGAATGTATGAAATATGGATATTAGGAAGAAAATAAAAATAAAAATTAAATTTATTATATTTAAACAAAATAGTATGTTGAGCATTTCTATTATAAAAGCAAAAATAAATATTTTAATTCATAGTTAATCTCATTTTTACGCATAATTGTGTCCATTGTACATTTTCCGCAAACATATTTTTTACATTTAGAGCAAATTTTGTTGGTTTTATTTTTTCTACAGTTTCCTATTTGACATCGCATACGTTTATAAGCATCTATAGTAGACTTAGCCAATGATACTTTCGTATTTGTTTCTTGTTTTGGTTGTTTACGGACTTCTCAAAAATCGGCGCCAAGTTCTTCTGCTAGCTTGGTAAAAAATCTTGTCGCGAAATATTTTCTCCTGTCGTTTGCTTGTACAAAATCCAGGCATTTATGCCAGCTAAATCAAGGATATTGAAAAAAAAAACTTGGAGAGGCTAATCAGGGAGATTCCACAAAAAGGAAATATTCAAATTATTTGCTCCATATGCAGCTCGAGCATCTAAAATTGCAATAAATGCAAATAATTTTTTTTAGATAAAGTCCAATCAGAACCTAACACTCTCTTTGCTTCTTCTATTGTGCATGTTCTTATATGGTTCATAATACGGTGATCAATTATCAATGAAAATGCAGTAATAACTTTACCTTCCATTATATGAATTTTTGCATATCCTGTTGGGCCTACTTCTTGCCTGAAAATGTTATGAAGTGGTGCTCTTCCAGGTGTGCCACCTAATTGCATTTGTTGCCAAACAGATCCATCATTCGCAATGTCTTGTTCATTTATTTCTACTTCACTTTCTTTCGAACCTGAGAGTATTCTTATCCTTTTTCGGCCACTACATACATTCACAATATTTTCCTCTTCATCGTCAGTATCTGTTGGATCAAACTCATTTTTATTTTCAACCAATATATCTTCATTTTCAGAAAATTCATCTTCACTAATTTCTGAAAACTCTTCGCCAATATTATTTATATCTTCTAAGAACTTGTACTGTCTTGTTTGCTTCGACATTTTTCTGGCTAAAAAATAACCTGTATTACTATAGCTATCAAAAACGCCATTTATAATAATTATTTATACTTTAAAAAAAAAATCTTTTCTTAATAATTCATGAGACTTCAATTTATTTTTTTGTTGCTTCTAAATGTGTCTTGATCTTCTTACCTTCTTTTATGTGTGTTATTTGATCACGTCGGGGTCACCAGTTATGGATGTAGTAGTCCTGGTGTGATACCAAAATGATCCAAATTGTAGACATAATAAATTCCATGAAATATAATGTTTTATATTTGGTTTATTTTATGTAAGATTACTACTGACAGCACTATGTGTAATCATATTTCTCGTTTATAAAATATAATTGGTATTTGCGTATTCACAATTGAAAAGAAAGGTTTCAAGAAAAATAATTTTGGAAATTAGACTCGGGAGAAACAAAAGCGAGATCAGATCTGACACTTGAATTTATTTTGTTTTCTCCGTGCTGTCACTATATGAGCCTATCTGTCCAGTAGAAATGCGATGCGTGTTGACAGGCCGCTACATATATATATATATATATATATATATATATATATATATATATATTCTTTTTCTAGTTTCTATTACCTTTTTTATCTTTTATATTTTGTTTGTTGTTAAGTGTTGCGTTTCTGTTGATTTTTCTCTTATATTTATAGTTTTTATACCAATCCACATATATTATAAATACCTAGTTATACTAATTTTTTATACTGTTTTTAGATCTACTGGATGACATTAAATTGAATGCCGAAACGTTTGGAATTAAAGATTAATTCATAAATCTTTGCTTTTTATTCTTTGATGCTCCACAAGAACTTATATATATATATATATATATATATATATATATATATAAACTATATATATATATATATATATATATATATATATATAAACTATCACGATATATATACGAGTATATATATATATATATATATATATATATATATATATATGGAGTATGTAAATTTGGTGTTGGTATATATTAAAACGAGTGTGTTGAGTCAGGCAATATCACCAAGTAATAAAACTAAAGCAATTGGGAAAACAGCATTATTTATCCATACGTTTCAGTCTTCGAGTTTAAAATATGTTCACCCCATTAAAATAAATATTTGAAATTTTCAGGGTGTTGAGAAGGACACAAATAAAGCATTGAAGTATTTTACTCAAGCTGGTGATCAAGGTTGGGTTGATGGACAGTTGCAACTAGGAAATATGTATTTTGGTATGACATTCATAATTATTTTAAAAAATTATATTTAGATTTTATTAGTAATATATGTCGAATTTGTTAATTATTCAATTTATAAGGTATAGTAAATAACTCGTAGCGTTTTACGAAAGATGGCGTCAGCCATCGATTTATAGGTACTCATTAAAAAAGTAAATATTCTGTTGGAATCTACTGACATAGTACATAGTTCAACATTTTGTTGTTGGGTTTGCAGCAATTGTTGTTTAGTATCATACATGTCTGGAAAACGTTTTTTTCTGGGAGTGTTACTTGTGCAAAGACATGGTATTTTAGTTGAAGTAAACGTTGAATAAGCTCTCGCTGAGCAAACACTCAGACACTACTTTGCGCGATTCTAGAATGAAATTTATCTTGAAAGACAAGAAACGTTCTGGACTATAGAAAAAGATGAAGATATTCAGGTAAAGCTCTTCAGAAAAAGCCCAAAGCGAATAAATAGGTAAACCTCGCACATAGGAAAGGTTCTGGCCAAAATCCTTACAAGATGACTCGAAAATAAGATTGAGCAGCACATGAGCGAAGACCAGTTTGGTTCAGGAAAAGGAAGAGGCACCAGGGACGCTATTGGAATACTGAGGATAATGTCGGACAGATGTCTCGACGTTAACGAGGACATATGCTTCTGTTTTATAGATTGGCAGAAAGCTTTTGACAGAGTCAACTGGAGTAAGCTTATGGGATTTTTAAAATCCATTAACGTCGATTGTAGGGATCGCAGGTTGATCCAGAATCTGTATATGGGACAGAAAGTAAAGGTTCAAATGAACCAGGGAGACACAAACAGCGTTGAAATAGGTAGAGGAGTGCGGCAAGGATGCTGTATGTCACCGATCCTATTCAACCTGTACGGAGAATGGCTCGTCAACGAGGCACTTAAGGGCGTAGGAGATTTTTCGATTGGAGGAAGAAAAATCACCTCCATAAAGTACGCTGATGATCTAGTAGTGCAAAACATGATGAACAGAATCGTCGAAATGGGTAAAAGATACGGAATGGAAATCAACATAAACAAGTCGAAAGTGATGAGAATCACAAAAACAAATAACCCTTTGAGGATAACGGTAGAAAATCGAGAATTGGAAGACGTGGATCCCCATACGGGAAAGTACCACGGGCCCAGGCTTGGCCCAACTATGTACAACTCTGGGCCAAGCTTGTAAGCCAAGCTTGGCCCAGCATTGGTAGAAATCTGGAGTGATAACGATGGGCCAAGCTTGGTTGCCAGGCTTGGTTGCCATGACTGAGCCAGGCTTGGGCTAGGCTCGATTACCATGACTGAGCCAGGCTTGGGCCAGGCTTGTAAGCCAAGCTTGGCCCAGCATTGGTAGATATGTGGAGTGATAACGATGGGCCAGGCTTGGTTGCCAGAACCGGGCCAGGCTTGGTTGCCATGACTGAGCCAGACTTGGGCTAGGCTCGATTACCATGACTGAGCCAGGCTTGGGCCAGGCTTGTAAGCCAAGCTTGGCCCAGCATTGGTAGAAATCTGGAGTGATAACGATGGGCCAGGCTTGGTTACCATGACTAAGCCAGGCTTGGGCTAGGCTCGATTACCACTACTGGGCCATGGTTATTTGCCATGACTGCGCCATCCTTAATTGCCACGACTGGGCCGGGCTCGGTTTCCGGAATGCAAATTAAATTATTTTTATTCTATAGACAAAAATGTAAGAGCTTATGAATTGGACAATGACGTTTATTGAACTTAAATAATCGGAATTAAAACGGACATTGTCTAATATTAAAATTTAATATAAGAGGTGTTCAGAATATTAGTTATAATTAAAATTCTTTTTCCTTTCAAAAGAACTACAAAAAAGAATTCTTTTTCCTTTCTGCCATTTTTTGCACATTTATCTTCGTATATCCAAAATGATAGGACCTGCCTTTGCCAAAAACTTTGTTTTTTGGATGATTCAAATTTGACGAATAATTGTATCCACACATACATACACACACCCACACATCCATTTTTTCTAGGTATGCCAAAATGTTCCGAAACCCTGAAATGTAAAGATAGGCAAAAAAAACCATTTCGATTTACGGGAAGTCAATAATACTAATAATAGTAGATATACATTGACAATAACTTACTTTTTATTTATATTTATAGTTAAATTACATTAAGTTAAATTAGTTAAATTTCATTATTAATAATACGTAATTAAATTACGTCCGCTGAGCATGTCCACCACCTTCTCTGTCTATTATTCGGTAACGATTGATATTTTGTCATAATGAATTCTGAAACAATAATAAACAACAACAATAATAATAATTATAATAATAATAGTTAATAAACAAATATTTAAATAAAACAATAACTTACCATAATTTTGTAAGGTTCAGTTTCTCTAAAACTTTTTTTCCTCGCCTTTTATTTTACGTCCAAACCCACTGTATTGCAGCTGAACTTTTTGTTTTATACATTTTCCATTATTTTATGAACATCTTTGACCGATCCACTAGAACTCAAAATCACAAATAACTGACTGAAGCAATATCACACTTTCGTCGGATGTCGGCCTAAGTGCCGCCCGTAGCGGCGTCTCAAAGAGTCAGAGGCACAAGCCTCTGAGCACGCGTCTACTATTCTTAAAATTATTTCGCCATTGGTACACATTTAATACACCTTTGCATTTTATTTAATTTGTTTAAATAATATTGAAATAAGAACGTGACGGAACAAATATATCTATGATATAATTTATTTTTATAAACAAAGTTTGTCAGGTTGAAATTTTATTTAACAAATCAATATTAAATTGCCAAAATATTATCAAAACATACTAAACATAAAAGTTTTAATTATGTTTGTGATAATATCTTACAACGATATAAACGTTTTTGCGCTACTAATAGAATATATACCGTGATGTTTTTTTACAAACGCGATATTACTTCTATATTACTTTTGGTATATTATTAGTTTGAGATTAGTGAACATTAGATAAATCGAGTCAGAAAAAATATGGAATTTATAGAAAAGTTTAAAGATTTAACTAATATTGAATTTTGAAGTATTTAATACGTAAAAGTTATTTTACATATACTTTTTATTATATGCTGGAGAGATATTAATTATGGGTTCTCTTCTTGATCCCTTGCAGAAATAAATCCGTCCTCGGCGTATTATACAAAGAAAAATTAATTTTACCACATTAGAATAAAAAATACTTATTAAAATATTATAAACATTTGCAATAATATAAGGGTTAACATATCAAAGATTTAAAATTTTTATTAAATAATTTATGAAATTTAAACTTAACACATTGCTATTTACACTTCATTATAAACTAACACCACTAACATTACTATCCTATGATTTTTATTATTGATGCACTTATCCTATGATTACTTCATTTATTTTATTTTTTTGACTGTTTGATAAGGATTGCGAAAATCAGGGGCCTTTTAATCATTTTCTGTAAATTTTTTCAGTTTATTGTCATGGACTTGTACCGGCTTATTATGAACTAAAATTGTACTATTAATATTATCGGAATTTAAAATTTTAAACGGCCCTTTCCATAATGGTAAAAGTTTTTTACACCTCCGCGAATATGGAGTTTCGTCTCTTAGAAGAACAAAATCATCAACTTCGAAAGTTTGCGGATTTAAATTTTGATCATAATGTAATTTAGTTTGTTCCTTACTATGTATTAAATTTTCACGAGCAAATTTGTTAGCATGTAGCAATCTGGATTTCAATTCATGAACATAAGTGTCGTATTTATATTGATAATTGTTAGATTTGGTTAAAGGCAAAGGTAACTCTATTTTTCTACCAAATAGCAATTCGAAAGGCGTGTAGTTGGTTGCGTCATGAATAGTGGTGTTATGAATAAAAACGGCATACTTAATGCACCTATCCCAATTGGTTTGAGTTTTATTAATATATGTTCTTAAATTTTGTACATAATCTCTATGTATCCTCTCGCATGAGCCATTTGACTCATGACGTTTAATTCCGAGAAGTTGTTATTTTTTTTATTTTTAATAATTTACAAACATCTTTAAATAAGTTGCTGGTGAACGTAGTTCCCTGATCGGACAATATTTCTTTCGGTAGACCGAACTTTAAAACAATTTCTGATACAACTGCGTCTGCAACCGTTGCGCTCTCTTGATTAGGAATTGGTATTGCGCCCGCAAATTTAGTGAGATCGCAAATGTATGTTAAGAAGTATTTATTTTCCGACTCAGAAATTGGATATGGACCACATATGTCAATGCAAACTTTTTCAAAAGGTTCTCTAGCGGTAGTTGTAATTACTAAGGGTTGTTTAGTTAATCTAGATATTTTATTTTTTTGACATTCCGTGCATTTGTTGACATACTCTTTTATTTGTTTCCGCATTTTCGGCCACTTATAGATATTTCTAATTCTATTAAATGTTTTTTTATGTCCTAAATGTCCTCCCGTTAGTTGAGATTTATGAAATTGTTCTAAAATTTTATTTATTTCCTCTGTGGTTAAATCGTCAATTAATTTATCATGGTAAATTTTAACTTGTATATCAGTATTTTTGAAAATATAGCGTATCAACATTCTAAAATTTTCTAAGGAAATGTGACAAAAACTTTTAAATTGAATAGGAGAAGGAATAGCTATTAATTTTATATTTTGTTGAATTAAATAAGTTCTTAAGTTATACAAGCAATGAAAGAAGTCTTCGAGTGAAGGTTGAGAGTTCATATTATTTACAATTGAATAAAAAAACAGGCTTTTGACCAAAATTCATGGTGAAATATTGATGCTTTTTATATTTATCGAGATATTCGTTAAAGTTCGTATGCTGAAAGAAATCTAAGTAATTGTTTAATTTTTCGTCGGATGGTTGATTTTTTATTACAAATAATAAGGCATTTTCTTTGTTTGCAACAGAAGTTAAAAAATTTTCATTTGATTCTTGGATATTATTGTTATAGCCCGAGAGCCAGTAACAGATTTATATGACCAAGTT